GAGAGAGAGAGAGAGAGAGAGAGAGACAGACAGACAGACAGACAGACAGACAGACAGACAGACAGACAGACACAAAGACAGCAGGATAAGGAGGGTGAGGGAGTAAGAGACAGAGACAGACACAGACAGACAGAAAGAGGGAGAAGAAGAGGAAGAGAGAGAGAGAGGGAGTCAGACAGACAGAAAGCGATTGAGACGTAGACATGGACAGAGACTGAGACAAACAAACAGAGGAAACGCACACACAAAGAGAGATAGCAGATATCCATGGGAGAAACAGAGAAAGACACACACAAAGAGAGGGGAAACAGAGATCGCAGATATCCATGGAGAAACAGAGAAAGACACACACAAAGAGAGGGGAGAGAGAGAGAGAAAGAGAGAAAGTGACAAACAGATAAACACAAAGAGAAACAGAGACTAACAATGACAAGAAAAATAGTAAACTGATGAGATATCAATATTAATTTGGCTGCAGATCAGCCCCATCACTGGTCAAGATGGGACAATCTGTAGCAACATGAAGTATCATTGACCCCCTTTGCACTAAGCATATGTCGTCGTTTTTTTTCGGACCTGACGATAGCCCTTCGGATTACTCTCTCACATGTACCACAAACAGAGAACTGATGTTTGTCTTCACTCCAAAGAGAGTCTCAAGAAGAAGGCAAAACCAGAACAACAAGAATGCGTCCAACTGCAGGCATGCGCAACCTGCGCAGTCTGCGCACGGTCCGCACGCGGTCCGCACACCGACCATGCGGACCCAGCACACACGTGCCAAAAGGGGCACATACCCTCCAAAAGGGCAGGGACAACATACGTCCACATAAAAAAATCCATCCTCTACTGAGGATGGGAGAGAAGAAAAACAAAAAGAGAAGACAGACAGGAAGAAGAAATAAATGAAATATGTACATCATAGATAGGCCAATATAAAAAAAAGAGGCACAAACGAGACCGTTGGGCAAGTGACGAGTAATTCAGGAGGGTTGACACCAGCCGGGAGCCCCGCGAAACTGTGCAACAATGAAGGAACCTGAAAGCGACATTTTCAAAGAGGACCCCGGCTGGCGAGCTGCTCCACTTATTAATGCCCTATCCTTGTAGGGGTCTTTTCTAGAACAGCACCAACCTAGGACACCACTCACCCAAAGGAATCGACGAACAAAAAAATACAGAATGAGGAAAAATTATGGTAATTCGTTGACACAATGGACCTCAACGAGGAAGACCAGTTCCGACCCCACAGGGGAAGGGGAAGGCGCACTGTCCGGCACGCTACCAGCCGGTGACGGATCAGCGAGGGCGGCGCGATGCTGCGCCGCTCGGTGTGCCCGGCGCCTTAGGCGAGAGCGGTGAGACCGTCAGCGGCGAGGCACCACTGATGCTGGCGCTGCAGACATCACCGGCGAGGGAGCAGTCAGAAGGGAAGCCGGACGCAGGTCTTCGGGAAACCAGTCAAAAAATGTTTTCCACTCCTCGATTAGGTCCAACGTCATGGCCGGGTCGGCGAGGGCGACACTGAGCAAAAAAAGACAAGAAAAAAGAGGAGAGAAAGACGAAACAAAACCAACTGGGAGTATCCATGGTATAAAATATTTACATTACCAACCTCGCCACGAGAGGTCTAACTGACCCTCCTCAAGGGCAGCATAGCCACCCGGGGGCAGTGCACACCTCCGCCGAGGACGTGGTGTCCTGGGCGGAGTAGGATGGGTGGGAGAAACCGGAGGGCTCTGCGTCGGGGTCACCAACGGACTACTCGGCAAGGAAGAGGAACCCAGGCGAGGAGAATCAGGAGGACTCGGGCAGGGCTACCCGGGGACTACCCACCAAGGGAGGGGAACCCTGAGCACCAGCAGGGGGCACAGCCACCGGAGATGGTGGATGTGTGAGGAGGTAGCCCGGCGGCTGAACGAACCCGGGGACCGACCTCGCAAGTGGGGCCGGCAGAAACAGAGAGGGCCCACCCATGGAGGCAACCGCCAGTCTTTTAGGCGTGGCGGACCCGGAAGCTGGAACCCCTGGGGGAACAACTACCTTACCCTGCACCACCCGCAACCTATCCACATGCGTAGTGAGGTGCTTAGAATGTCGGGGTGAAGGAGGAGGACCCACCCGGACAATAGCACACACAACTCCCTTCACCACTCCCACCTGCCACGGGCCTGTCCAGGGGCGGAACAGCTTAGGGCTGGACCCAGAGGGGGGGGGGGGCGGAACAGCGTGGAGCCAAACATTGTCCCCAGGTTGTACCGTGGGTAGATAAGTTTGGCGATCGTACGCTGCCTTAGCCACTCTGTGGGCTACACCGAGGCGGTCACGTACAACGCCAAAAGCCCGACCCAAAGACGACCGAAGATTGGACACGTACACAGGCAAAGGGGCTTCCACGGGGGTATTAGGTGAAGGTAAGAACAAGTCCAAGGAAAGACGGGCCTCCCTCCCAAACAGGACAGAATGGGGAGTAAACCCGGTAGAGCGGTGGACCCCCGTATTGTAGGCAAATTGCACCAGGGAAAGATGTTTGTCCCACGAGGACTGATCACCCTCGACGGTACGCCCGAAGAGCAACCTGAATAGTACGATTGGCCCGCTCTACCAAGCCATCGGTACGGGGTCGTGCGTGATTTACACCCCCCCCCCCCCCCCCCCCAACAACTAACACAGGCATGACATAAGACTAGGGCTGCAACGAATATTCTATTTCACAAACGAACGAATACTCATCCATAACGAACGAATAACGAATATTCTCTCAAAATGCTGAATTATTTCTAAGGGTGAAACAATTATTTAAATAGGAACTAAATCGATTTTTTTGTGAATGAATCGAATATTCTATACCTAAAGAATCTTAGAAAGAGTTTGGCTAGTCCCCAGTTGTTCTAGCCCAAGTAGATGTCTAGTGGAGTCATGTCCACTACTCCTGTGAGTCATAGTCCCCTTTCTCAGCACAAAACACATGTACATATCACTCCATCCGTTCAAGAATTACTACAAATAGATCGACAGGAGCAGAGTGTGCGCACGTGTCAAAACGAACGAATGTTCTAAAGGGGAAAATATTCCTTCCATCGGGCTCCTAACGAATATCAATCGAATATTCGAATATTCTTTTCAGCCATACATCAGACGGCTCTCAAAATTTGGGCCCCGATCCGAGTGCAACTGGCTAGGGACACCAAACTTCATAAATACCCGTTCGACCAAAAGGTCCCCCACAGTCTCAGCTCTCATGTCCTGAAGGGGAAGAATTTCAACCCATTGAGAAAAATGGTCTCCAACCACTACAGTCCATTCATTGGAAACTGCCACTCTAACTTTTTGGTGTCTCCCGCACATAGTTGTAGATACCATGAAAAAACATTACATTCTGCATTGTGTGACCCGTCCATTTACTCCTTGCCACATTTGAGGCCACAAAAAGTCCAAGAACAGGGAAATAGAAATTCAGCCAGGTTTTGCAAAATTAGGACAGGTATGCCCTTGCAAAATGTATGGAGAAGCAGATCCAAAACCCAGATTTTTGAGATTTTCAGTGGGTTTTTGATCCTCAATTCGGCCCAAATCCGACTTTCAGAAACCAGCAGGACTGTTTCCGATGAATGGACTGTAGGGTATAATTATTTTATTCCCACGAGCAGTGAGAGGTAAGGGTCCCATGATATCCATGGTAATGACCTCAAACAGGGCAACCACACGCACAGTGCCGAGCCCTAGGCAAATCTTTGCCACGCTCACACACTGTACAACATTTATAAAACACCGAGACATCGACCGATATTCCCGGCCAGTATGCGACTTTACGAAGCCGAGCCAATATGCGGTCTGAACCAAAATGGCCAGATGTTTAACCGGCGTGCGCCTCGACCACCGCACCTAAGCCGGAAACACTGGCATCAGTGTCAACATTAAAAGGTAGAGAAAAATCCGGAATTGCCAAAATAGGTGCCTCACAAAACGCTACACACAACTTCCGAAACACAGCCTGATGTTCAGCTGACCACGCAAACGAAACGTCCCTACGGAGCAGATCATGCAGCGGATGTGCGATCGCGGAAAAGCGGGTAATAACTTTAGATTGGTTGGCGCCTTCCACTCACGTGCTGCCTGGACCTTTTCCGGATCAGTTGTGATCCCCTCTGCCAAAACCACATGGCCAAGGAAATTAACCTCTCCTAATAAGAGATGGCATTTCCTTGGTTTAATCTTCAACCTGGCGTGTCGCAACGCGGTCAACACCGCCTCCAACCTGGGCAAGTGGTCTCGAAACGTGTGCGAGAAAACAATGACGCCGTCCAAATAAACTAAACAATACAGGGGAGAAAGACCCCGCAGGACAGCATGCATCATGCGTTGAAATGTGGCCGGAGCATTACATAGACCAAAAGGCATACGTTTGAACTCATAGAAACCCTGTGACGTGATGAAAGCTGTTTTCTCCTGGTCTTTTCCCGCCACCGGAACTTGCAAATAGCCGGACTGTAAGTCCAGTATCGAGAAAAACTGAGCCCCACCCAGCCTATCGAGTGTATCATAAATCCGAGGTAATGGGTGGGAGTCTTTGTGGGTGACGTCATTCAGTTTACGGTAGTCTACACAAAACTGGACCGAACCGTCGGGCTTTTTTACCAATACAATGGGGCTAGCCCAAGGGGACACACTAGGGGAGATGATACCCTTTCCTAACATCTTCTCCACCTCCTCGGCAACAATCCTAACCCTGGGCGGGAAAGGCGTCGGGGGCCTTGGCGGATAGGGTGTGTGGTCCCTGTATCAATAACATGTTCGAGAATAGGGGTTTCCTCAACATCACAGTCGCCTTCTGCAATCACATCCCCAAATTTGTTCAAGAGACTGACCAGAGATTGACGTTCCTGCGCCGTGCCCGCAAAGCGAGAGAGATCAAACCGGTCCGCCGGAGAAGATGTGGATGACACCGACTGCACACCCACTGCCGCGCCCACCATTGTCGGAACATCCGATCGAGAGCCCTCCACCGGCAGGAACTGCCCTAAACACACACCACGCTGAAGACACACCGGCACATCCGACACATTGGCACAACACATGGGAATATAACCAGACGCAGAGACAGAACATACAGCACGGGGCAGGGCATAGCCCAAATCGGAATCGACTACAGTCTCCACCAGATCAACCATGTCCGGAGGAGTTGTAGCCTCTCCCTGCAACATCAACTGAGACCATGGGGAATTTCCATGGCCGCCCCCTAGGAGACAGAATAGTGTTCTGGCAGAGCAGCAGGCCGGGTGGCCCTGGGGACGGCAACCAGGGGACAGGAACACACGGGCCACATGACCCCACCCCGGACTATAAACGCAACAGCAAAAGTGAAAGCCAAGGCTAACTTAAACACCAACACAACCTGAACCGAACCGCAAACACTGGCTAATAGGAGCAACAGGGTTGAAAACCCTAACCACATCGTGCCTCGCACGTCACCGCCGAACCTGGCGGAACTACTCCGCGCTACATACCCCTGTTCCCTGGACAATAGGATCATATGTCCCTCTAAGGTCAAACGGGGTGAACCATTTAATGTAGCGTAAAACAATGGGCTGCCAAAATGTCGGCACCCAACAAACACTCCTCGGTTAGACGAGCAACAGCCAATACCCGGGCGGAAAGCGTAATGTTGCCAAAGGTAAATGTCAGGGGTAAATAGCCCTTGACGTCTAGGGTACCCTCACCCGCAGTGTAGAGTGCCGATACGCCCAACTCAGAGGCAGGACGTAATAACCGTCCTGCATTCAACTTCTCCACAACAGCAAAATTCACCAATGTGATTGCTGCACCTGTGTCCACCAGACACGACACAGCTGAACTAGCCCTATCGGTGGCCAACGTACCTTGTGCAAAGAGACTGGTGCCGGCGCGGTGGATGTAGAACGGAACCGCATCGGTGTAAGCCATGACAGCCTCCACCGGGAGGGAATCCGATAACTCGACCGGAATAGACGGTGGGGTGGACAGCGGAGCGGAAGCCAGAGTACATAGGTGAGATTCCGCCGGAGTATGCTCGAAAGCACACACATCACACACAACGCACACAGACAGAGAGGCAGCATTAGAAAACAACACAGGCTCAATATCTGGTGTTATCACAATCTCCGGAATCGTACCTGGCGGAACCACCACCGACTCAGCGAGGTCGGCGTCACTGATGCACACATGCATACATGTATCAGGGTCACACTCATTCTCCTCCTCTACAAAAATAGGTAGGGCTACAGCTATTTCCTCAGTAGAACCAACACGCCTAGGTAAGGCGGTGGGACGACCCACACCAGCCGCCTCATCTAGTTTAAAGATCTGGTGTTAACCTGGTGTTCACGAGGATTACGCCCACGGTCACGTGGATTTGAGTGACAATCTCGGCGGAGGTGACCAAGTTGGCCACAACCAAAACAGCGTGGACCTCGTGACCAGTGGTCGGGAGCCGGACTCTCGCGCTGCGCACAGAGGCTTTCGAGCAGACTGGTTTGCGTTGCACATAATTTCTCCAAACTATCCAGGCGCGCCGTGATTTCAGGCGTGGCCGACGCGACGAACACAGGTTCAGCGGCCGGGCGCAACTGGTCCGGCGTCTCCAGGACGACTGCCTTTTGAACGGCGTGCACTAGCGTCTGCGGCTTGTGGTCCTCCACACGACGTGGGGAGACAAAGCGTCCACAAAAGTACGGATAGACACGGTGTTAAGAATGGTACCAGGCGCCCCCGGATATGCCTTAGCCACCAATACCTGGATAGCGTTGCCCAATTCAGTTAGGGTCTCACCCGCCTGGCGTTTCCGAGCCTGAAGCTCAGTTTGGCGGAGCAACTCCTTGCCCGTGTCACCAAAGCGAGCATGCAGAGCGGTCTCGATCTCCGCGCGATCCTCCTGCTGCATGTCCGACAAGGATTCCAACATGAGAGCCGCACTGCCAGTGAGGCTCGTACACAACACAACACGGGCCATTAATTCTAACCTCCCCTGCGAGGCCGCATCAATCGTGTCATGGGGTTGGGTAACTGGGATATACTTATTAGCCTGCAAACATAACCTTAAATCGTTCAGGAAGGCCTGGAGATCCTCTCCCGAACGGTTTCGGTATCAGCCATCTTCCAGGCGCTTCTACTGTAACCTTAGACATGAGGCCACAACTACTCCAGGTAACGAAACACAGAGGAACAAAAATACACCCGGAGGGTACAGTGACCCATAGCAGGACTACGTCGACACAAGCAGGCCAACACTAAACAAATGTCACAATACAGGCTTTACAGGCTAATGCCCCAACAATGTCTAGCAGTGAACTAAAAGCAGCTGCTCTGGCTTACCTGAATTGCCTCGCTGGCGGCCAGCTTGGACGCGCGAAGGAGACTTGCCGAGACATAAAGCACAGAGGGATCGCCAAAGAACGCAGGAGGCAGGTGAAGAAAAAAGAAACCGGAAAGACCGCGGACGACAGGTTTATCGCAGGGTCGTGGGGACGATGCCACTAGCCGGGTGCCAATTGTCGTCGGTTTTTTTTTTGACCTGACGATAGCCCTTCCGATTACTCTCTCACATGTACCACAAACAGAAGACTGATATTTGTCTTTACTCCAAAGAAAATCTCAACAAGAAGGCAAAACCAGAACAACAAGAATGCGCCCAAATGCAGACATGCGCAACCTGCGCGGTCCGCTCGCGGTCCGCACACCGACCACGCGGACCCAGCACACACGTGCCAAAAGGGGCACATACCCTCGAAAAGGGCTGGGACAACACATACGCATTAACACAAGATTGTGTCCTGGATGCATTGCAATGAAGATTTGTGGCACACAGGCACATACATACAAACAGATCTCCGGCGGGATTATAATAAGGTTGAGATATGCTGTAGGGTTGGCTAAGAGGTCTTGAAAGTACTATCACCCAGTGTCATGACAACACTGAATTTTGGATTCACCTGGATTCAGATTTTGTCCAGATGCCTACACATATGGGTGGTCTTCTACACACAAGGCTGAAGCATTTGCTGTCAGTAACAGACCTGTGCTCTCCTGGTCGGAGACCCCCTCCTGTTACACATGCAACACAAGGGCCTTTCCAACTGCATACTGTACTTTGCTATGGTAAGTGTAAGTCCAATTCCACACAGACGTTGTTCCCTGTTGACTTCCGACGTCATCATGTTCAAGCTCTGGGCCTGGACATAGGCTTACTGACATGCAGGAATATGACTCAGAAGTAGCGAGAAAATCAGCAGGAATATAAACCAGCTAATACTGCTAAAACCAGAGTCCATGACGGAGAGTGTTGAACTATGATCTTGGTTCAATGCAACTTTAATTCAACTTTCTCGCGTCCCGCCTAGCACTCGTGCACTGGAATTGACTGTCCCCGGTGGCAGCACAACTTGTTTTCGCTTGAGCCATTCCAGTACCAACACAATCAACACGATTTTCAGGGGCAAATGCATCGATTTGTCAAGTAGGGTTCAGCGTGAAAGACAATTTGACGTCGGTTCGAATGGCATATCTATCGCTTGCATACAATGAACCAAACTTGCCAAATCGCCAAAAGCATGATCCACGCTGCCATAGCGACCAGCGCAGTGATGACGCACATTCCGCTTAGCTCCGCGAGAGAGACGGTCGGACACTTCAGGATATTGTCATTTTCAATTGTCTGATTGTATTCCTGATGGAAGCAAAATGTGCACCATCACTGCTCTGGTCGCTATGGCAATGTGCATCATACAAGAACTCTCCAACGAGATAGTGAGCCTATCTGTGGGATCCTACGGTAGACTACAGCAGCTCTTACGCTAAAGTGCCCAATACAAGCGTGTACAGTCCTGCTCCCTGAAATCCAGTCGTGAAATCTCAAGTTTGCGCCTTGCACCATTTCACAGCCTAAAGTCCATTCAGAAAAAGATGATATCCTAGCTCTTGGCCATAAATGGGTCAAATTTTGAGTTTTGTCACAATTTTTTGGCAATCGCCCATGGAATGCTCTTCCAATTATGTTTTGGAAGTTTTTTTCTCCAAAGAGCAAGCCATAACAAGAATATGATTCCGGCCATGTTCTGCCCCCAAAGCACTGAATTGGGGAAAAGCCATGGAAATCCAACCCCCGCACTCCACTTGCAGAACAGTACATTTGCGGTTCAAACCCCAGGTGAGGTATCTTTTTTGGACCCTTTTCGAGTTTCGAATCTCGCGGCACTGGCAAATCACCAAACACGGGAGCTCTCCAGAGCCAGCGCTCGTCTTTTTCTGAATGGACTGTAGTGTTCCCTTGTCTAGGTCCATGGAACGCCCGGTGTGTACTTGAGTGACGCGACTGGATTTCATTGAGCAACACTGTACATGCATTGTAGAGTCTGAGAGTTCAGGAGATCAGTGCATACTGTAAGTCTTGTACCACGTTTACATACGCCTTTTGGGCTAGTGTCACCCAGACAACTTAGCGTGTCCAGATCTAACATACCTCTTAGGGACCAATGGAAACATTTACTGGACTTTGTACTGAGATATTCGGTAGAAACAGTAAAATTTAATTTAAACTTGTGTCGCCACAACGCGACTGAATCAATACGTATTACGTCCACAGCGATCATCCCGTTGGGGGATAACAGTACATGATGCCATGAACGAAACTCACCTAGTCCTTCGAGATCCGATGGGACGGCTACTCAGGTACAAGTATTCGGACAAATTTCCTGTTGCAGGATGCGACTGCCAGCACCCGCGGTTCCCTGCGCCCAAACGCCCTAGCACAAGTCGTCCGCACGCGTAGATTCTCTTCACCGAGCTGTTTCCAGTGCACGACATCAAATACAATCACAACGAAGAGGAGAAAACATCGACCTACACTCCAACGCAAGCGGCAACTAGCTTCGGAAATGCACCATTCACACCATTCATTACCTTGGGTTCACCAACACATTCTCAAACACAGGTGAACCCATGGCAGGGTGTAACAATGATGGTCAAAATGAAAATTCATTCAATCACTATCCCCATGTGGCGAAGCCAACCGTAACGTAGATTTGAACGGCAATCGTTGTGTCACCAAATAAACTTTCAATGCAGGCATTAGGAGTGTGCTATCGCTTCACATCGACCCACAGCCGAAGGTAGAGAAACGGGGAAGGAAGAACGCATCGTGCTTACCGCTGTTCCAAACCAAGCTGGGCTAGACGGCGAGACTCCAACGGCGTGCTAGAGCTACCGAACGAGGTTACCGTCACCCGGACAGACTGCCGAACTGCCGTCGCTACCACAGCTTTGCATGCCTTGCTAACTTTGCCTGCTTTCCAGCAACCCTACAAAGTGGCGTCGGTATCAAAGCGACATGACAACAATGAAGACAAAAGAGAGAAAAAACCTCTGGTGAATGACTGTGCACCAGGAGAAATTTTCGGAAGGCGGTCAACTCTTCTCTCTACCTTTTCTCTGACCGAGTATGACCTGCCTCTCAACCGCTGCACTTGTCTGAGTAGCATGGGGACCTACACTTCAATAGCCTGTAGACTAGGATGTAGTGTAGCATGTATGATGTAGTGTAGCATGTATGATGTAGTGTAGCATGTATGATGTAGTGTAGCATGTATGATGTAGTGTAGCATGTATGTAGGTGATCAAACTGCTTGGTTGCGCTTTGTGTGTCAAAGTCATTATGCACATAGTTAGCTGGTGTGGAGGGGGGGGGGGGGGGGGTTGGGTGGAGCTTTGCGAACAGAGAGAAGACCTGCGCTAGTCGCTTCATGTAGGTCTACATGACTGTAGTACCTGTCCCGGAGCATACCGCTGTGTGAATGTACCGGTGACTTGCCATGATCATGGAGATAATTGTAAAGTTGTAGTAAGGCAAGGACATGTCGACAGGGACCTACCGTATTATCTCTAATATAAGCACAGTCTCCAATAATAGCACGTCTCCAATAATAGAACACCTTGGGGCGGCATTCCAAAAATAAAGTGCTCAGTCTCCATTATAAGCACACTGTGTAAATTCATTATCTGTACCGGCGAAAAAACCCTGAAATGTGTGTGTCTGACATGAATTTGGCATGGCAACATGCCTCTGAAATGAGGTTGAAATAATAATGGAACAGTCTCCAATAAAGGAACGTCTCCATTAATAGCACGGGGCGGAGGTAGATTGAACAAATAAAGGACCGTGCTTATATTAGGGCCGATTCCCACTACGGTACCGTGAGTGCCGTGCCGTGAGTACCCATGGTGATTTGCTCACGTGAGGGGCAGTTTTGGCGCGAGTTCATTCCGTGGGTCATGCCGTACCGCGCCGTGGACATTCCGGTGCCGAGGGTCTCTGGGGGGTGGAAATGGCATGCCGTGGTATTCCGTGAGGTCGAATACAGTGTGTAGTAGGTATTTTACTACTTCCTGATAGGAAGTTTTTTCTTTCTTTTGTATTTGTGGTACGAAGTGTTTTCTTGGCTTTTGACTTTTGGATTGGTTGATTTTTGAGCTTTCTCCAATCATTCGCTTTCATGTTATTGAGTTCTATGCCCGTTTATTTATTTATTTATTTATTTATTTATTTATTTCTGCACCTCGTGGCATGTCAAGACAGCCAATTGAGTTGAGGAGAGGGTGAGACCAACCACGGAAGAAGAGAAAAAAAGAAAATTAAGAGCACGTACACAAAGTGGGAAGGGATTAGCAACTTACAAAGCAATGGGATGCTCAGCGAGCTATGCAGCGGAAGTGGTGACTGTGACTTTGTTTACTGGGAGATACTGAAGTGCTGTCTGACGAGGGTACGGAATTTGGGCATATCTGGAGCTTGTCTAACACTGGGAGGCAGTTGGAGCCACGTGGAATAGGAGGAAAAGAAAGGGGAATTTACGAATAGGGTAGACCTAGCTAGGGGGAGACGAACGCAGCTTCGGGTGGTGCCACCTGAATTGAACCAATTAAGGGACTGTAAATGAGCAGGGTGCTGGTCAAGGAAAATTGAATGCGCCAGGGTGCACTTGGAAGCATCAAGGTAATGTTTGAATTCGCGAATCAAAATAAATACAAACAAACAAACAAACATCTCCCCCGCTATTTTCCCTCCAGACCAAAGTCAGAAATTGGTAAAAATGGCGATCTGGCCTTCCGACGGAATGCACGGAACGACAGTGCGCAGGTGTAAATCACTCTCAGCTTCAAGCTCGTACCGTGGGGTACACGTGACCTTACCAAATCGTCGGCACGGCACTCACGGTACCGTAGTGGGAATTGGCCCTAAGAGATAATACGGTATCATGTACTAGTCCACCACTGGCACCAGTCCACGGATCGATTTAGCGCGCTGGTGTCTCAAACCAACTGACACTGTGACAGTCTGGTCTGCAGAGCTAGACAACCAGATCACGCGTCCCAAGCAACCAACTAACTTCCAAGTGACAGTCCCGAAAACGTTCCCTACCTCCTCCCCGCACCTGTTTGCACTCGAGTAGACCCTCCAATGGCTCCATTCACAACCCGCATCACTGATCTGAGCGAGTGTATGTGATAAACGACAGCGTCCACATACACTGTACATGTAGCCATTCAAACTGCGACTAGCCAAACAGTGTTGATTCTCACAATATGACGTGTGAGATTCACCACTATGCCTGTGTTCTTGGTCTAGTAAGTTTTGGAAGCTTCTAATGAGACAGTCACAGAGAGACCTTGTAATGTAGACAGTCTACCAAGGCAAAGTTGAGTATGACTGTGTCATCCCTTGCCTGACAGCGAACAAATCCTACTACAACTAATTACTTACAAGTACACGGCAGTACTACTTGTCTCACCTCTCATGCTCTCAGTGTCTCACCCCTCATGCTCTCCGGCCGTGTCTCACCCATCATGCTCTCCGGCCGTGTCTCACCCATCATGCTCTCAGTGTCTCACCCGGTCACCCCTCATGCTCTCAGTGAGTGCGTTCGATTATGCACGCGAATCGATTCACGAATCGATTCATGAATCGATTCACGTTATTCACATCACCCCATGTGAATAGGGAGAATGGATTCCGAATCGATTCCAGGGCTCAAGACATGAAATCGAACGACTTGAATGCATGCGAATGGATTCATGAATCGATTCAAGTGCATAATCGAACGCAGCCACTATCTCACCGGCGCATCATCTTTCTCGACCAAAATTTTGAAAAGTGGAAACACGTGACCTGGCGCAGGGAAACATAAATGCACCAAATGAGATGTTTCGGTCTTTGACCCCTTGAGTGGTGGGTTTGATCTACTTACCTCCCACCGCTTTAGGAGCTGAATCTGCACCTCGATCCTTGACGTTGGTGGCGTTCATCCAGATGCAGAAAACTCGGTTCAACCGAATCTCTACGGTAGGCATATGCGGATAATGCCGGCATAAAAATTGGCAGAATTCGGTACTTTTCTGGTAAGGTTCATGCATGTTTGGTATTTTTTTTTTATTGAAAAACCACAAACCTTCAGACATGTGAATGTGCACATGATATAATTATAGTGTACATACGTATGTATCGAGAAGGCAGCACAGAAACGGCAGTGGTGGTGAGGCCTGGGCAGCTCGTCCGACTGTGGCCCGTGGGTCTTGGTTGGTTGGTTGGTTTTTATTTCACTTCGCACATTCAAACGGGATGACGACCCAATAAAATGACGGCGAAGGCTTAGCCTAGAAGTGGCTATTGAAGAACATAGTAAAAGCTATGGAAGCACATAGTAAGAGAATAGGATACTAATAACTGCGGGTAAACGGGGGGAGAGAGAGAATACTATGTATCTGTGATACTACGTGCGGGTTACTGAACTGCACGGGGAGGGAGAGCAGAGCGATCAGCAGCAACTCGAACTACTCCCTACAGGCGTATGGTACACATGCATGCTTAAACTCAGGTAGCCGGGTAATTGTGCGGACCTCACCAGGGAGAGCGTTCCACAGCAGAGCACCAGCAACAGAAAATCTCCGCTGACCGCGGCGGCTACGGTTTGCCTGGCTTAGTAGGCCATTTGACTGCTGATGGCGGGTAGGGGTGCCTTGTGCCGGGGTCAGAAGCTGGGCGAGCACAGGGCTGGTGCGGGCGTGGATGCACCGCCAGATGGTGATCAATATGTTCTGCCTGTAGAGCTCGCTGACACGGTAAAGGGAGTGAGCAGTGAGCAGCGGCTGCATGGCTGTCCGGGGCGGGTTGCCATCGATACAGCGGATGGCTCTGTTTTGCGTGGTTTGCAGTTGTCTCAGTTGACCCTCTCGCATTGCGGCTGAAAAACAGCAGGAGCCATAAAGCAGGTCAGGCATTATGACCGCCTTCACATACACCTGACCAGAGCGTCTTGATAGGCTTCGGCGTGCCCGCCACAAGGCGCCAATTTTCTTGGCAACCTTGGTGACTACATAGTTTACATGGGTGTCCCAATCTAGGCGATTGTCAAGGTGAACGCCGAGGTAGCGCGCAGAAGACACTGAGGGGAGGAGACAGTCGCCGCTTTTGACTGTTACGTCCTGTACATGCTGCTGGGGAGAGATAGTCAGAACCTGGCTCTTGGTGGCGTTCAAGATGAGGCCTCGGGACTTCAGCCAACCGGCCAGAGCAGCTGCCGCTGTGGTGAGGGTTCTGGACGCTTCCGCCGCAGAGGCCTGGGAGTCGTACAGGGCTATGTCATCTGCAAATTGTACACTTGGCACAGGCGAGGAAACCAAAGGGACATCGCGTGTGTATATACTGAAGAGGACACGGCCGAGAACAGAGCCTTGGGGCACTCCGCAGGTGCAAGCCAGAGCAGGGCTGGTTGAAAGCGAGATGAGGATCTGCTGCTTGCGGTCGGACAAGTAGTCGACGAACCAACTTAGGGCTTTTCCAGAAATTCCAACCGCAAGGAGGTCTTGAATTAACTTGTCGTCTCGGAGTCAACACTGGTCAGACGCACCGGGGGGGGGGGGGGGGTGGTAGCTTAGGAGATAAGGGATGGAGCCAGCATGATCATAGTATGTAATGCATATGCAGAAGTAATAATTATGTTAATCTTAAAAACAATAGTGCGGTCGCCCTGCGCAGAGGAAAGGCATCATGGACCACTTGGTCAAGGATGTTTGCGGCCAACGTTAACTCCAAAGCAGCAGCGAATCAGCTAACTTTCGTACCGCCCAACAGGCAACACTAACACCAAAATGCAAAGACATATTCCTGGAACTGCAAGGAAATCTGACACAAAACGTTCTATCATTCCACGGAGAAAGCTCCTTCCGATCTTGTTCGACCCTTCATTCATATGACAGCTGATTGGAAGTTGGAACCTTCCTCCTCCCTTGACCATGTTTACCTTATTTGTCTACAACTAGGCACGTGGCATATATGAACTATAATAAACACATGGTGCGTCGTGCATTATGGCTGA